GGAGTCATTCACTGTCTCTGGCTGTCTCCTACTCCTCCATGTTCTTAAAGACTATAGCGCCTATAAGTTTTTTTTTTTTTTAAATAAACATGGTCAGGAAACTGTCCAGTTGATTGTATAAGAGGACATCATTTTCAACTAGTAGGCTTTGTAATTGAACCAAATGGCTGGTGAGCAGAGCACTACGTAAGTTCTTTTCATGAGCTTCTGTATTTTCCACTGGAATTTTCCCTGCTATTGGAACTGACAACGAAAATAAAGACTAAGAAGAGGAAGCTTTAGCAGCATCTCTCCTCAGAGTGAGATGGGATTTTAATGTGGGTGAATTCTGAGATAATGAAGCATGATGTGGAAGACACAAAAAAAAAATAAAAAGAAAGCTTAAAAAAAGGGGGAATAACCACTGGATGAGTGTCTTACCTATAATCTCTTACCTAAGTTCCACTGAATGAACATCATAATAGGTATTTACAACTGTACACTCTGTTTTTTGCTAAGAAGGACTCTGAAACAGCTTTATGAAATATAATATTATGGCCTTGTAGTATACAGTGGTATGAACCATGATTACCAGTCATTGAAAAATGGCAGTGGTGTCCCATGGCAGACACAGGGCAGGAAGAGAGAACCAAGGAAGATGGAAATGAGAAGAAGGAAGAAGGAAGGCATGGAGATTGGGACACAAATGATGATTACCGTCAACAGAGTTCACTCATTAAACACTGTGATCTGTTAAACTATCAAAGACATAACGAATAGGGAAAAGTTGACAGCACATCTTTCTGATTAACAGTAATAGTCCTAAATAAGTCTATATTGGACAAGAACACCAGTAACCTCAAAATACAGCGGGAAAATGACAGGATATAACACCATTTATTTTCTCACTCTATTGACAAACCTATAATTTAATAATCACAAATTTCCTTGTGTGTTTCTAGGCATAATCAATATGTGAATGACTATGAAATATTTCTTACAAGAAATATCTTGTCACCTTGTTAGACAGATATGGACACATAACTTAGTATGCATAGGCTAAATATATCACAGCAAAAAGGCAGAAAGGGACTCAAGAGTGTGATCCTAAAGATATATGTCACATAATAAAGTAGGTAGTGAAGGGGACAACATGATGAAGCTCACGTGTCTGGGAGGGCTCTAGCTTGAGCATGGTGGTAGGGGACAATGGCATCAGAATATTTACAGAAAAACACTGACCTGTGCTTTAAAGGAGACATTTTATACACTGTATTTTCATTTATATTTATTCTAAAAATCAGAAGGTATAAAATAATGAGAGTCATATTTTAGGAAAGTTGTATTTGACATTCAGAAGATGTCTGAGCCACAATTGTGTTACTACATCAGATCAGTAATTACTCCAGACTGATGGTTGCATTATGAAATTGCAAATATTTAATGACATTTTTTCCAAAATTAAATTTGTATCTTGGAGCTATTTCAAAAATCTGTTTTCCCATGATAGCATTAGGGATTTATTAAGTATAACATGTATTTAATTGTTTTACTACAAAGATACAAGGTGATGATTTCTGCGGGAATGGACTATATAAGTATACTCCTTCCTAAAAAGTAGCATTATTGTTACAAGGGCAAAAAGAGGGCATATAGCTATACTCACAGACAATAATGAGAAATGATAGATGGATAGATAGATAGATGATAAATAGATAAATAGATAGATAGATAACTTTATAATAAAGACCATACATCTCTGGATTCTTTGCTGGCTAATATACTTTTAGACTTTCTTAAAGCTATGATTAATTATTTCTACCACCCCCTTTCGTTTCAAATATAATTATCTTAAATAGCACTTACTTCTGATTGCTGTATACTGTGTTGGAGGATAATGGAAATGAAAGTAGGTTGAAATTTCTGCCTGAGGTTCCATGAGACAAAGAAAAAATTTTAAAATATGATTTTTAACGTTCTTGAATTCAAAAGCTGCCGTTTCTCCCGCCCAGAGAAACACTGCCAGTTTTCATTTTGCTTTCACTTCTCTCTACTTACTCAACTGAAACAATAGATCTCTCCAACTATTTAGAATTATATGCTGTGACTCTGGAGATCTCTATCCTTACCAGATGGCAGGTGGCTCTCCACAATTGCCAAGTCTATATTAAACAGTGTCCAGTTTCCTCATGTTTTACCTAATTGTTCTTCACTTATTGTTCCAGAAAAAAAAAACTTTCAAACTCTTAACATTCTCATGTTACAGGAAGTGAGCATTTAGGCCGTGTATTCTGTTTTGGTATATTTTCTTGATACATGTAAGAGTTAAGTTCTCAATTATTTAATAATCCTGATTTAAATCTGTTCTATAAAGGTTGACACACTGTTAGGATACTGAACCTCAATGAAGTCAGCTCTGAAAACCCATTCTTGGTGAATGATCACAGGTTCCTGACATCTTCACTTCAGTTGTTCTGGAGCAGATTAGGATGGCAAACACAAGTCCCTGTTTTGTCTAGATTTATCTTTATTGGGATTCACTTTCTACCTGCTTAGTTGTATCTTTGAATATATACTCAATTTATAAGAATTATACTAAAAATAATACTGATTTTTTTTCAGTTTTAGGGAGGTGTACACACTGATTTTACAGTGAGGAAGATGTGGATATAGAGCTTTTACATCAATATCACAGATGAAGTTCTTTTACAAATTATGTTTCCCTGTGATTTATGCGGCACAACGATGGATAGATCCCAAATCTAAGATCACCATACTATGATTATATAAATATTACTCACAATTAAACTAATGGTGTGTGATCATTCCCTCTGCCCATTTGGTATTCTAGGAGTTAATAATCACCTCTTTTTATTTGTTGTGTCAATTAGCCGCCAAATTCACTGCAATAATGTGCATTGCCTCTTAATACATAATAGCAATCTGGAAGATAATAAAGCCCTTCTTTGTTCTTTCTCTCGAAAGCATTCCTCCTGAAGCTGCCTGTCCCCTTGATTTGCACTACTGTGTGTGATCTCTGGACCTGCCGCACAAATGTCAGCCTGGAGTTGCCTTCCTCTCTCATGGGTCAGAGCCTTCGTATCCTGAAGCCTTTGCCTTTCACTTCAGTTTGTTTCTTCATTGTTCTGACAAAGTGATCATGACTCTTGACAAAGGATTCAGGGGAAAAACTATTTGATAAAACACATGTCTAATAAAATACTCTTTATTAGCTGACAATGATGTTATTTATATAATTCTAGTTTATATACTTTTCCTTCAGAATTATGAAGGCATTTTTCATAATATTCTGCCCTGCCATAGGCCAAAGTAGCTTCTTTATTAACCAATGGTAATAAAACATATTCATAGTATACAGAGCGGAATCCCACATCTAGGTTTCCATATATTTTGACCACTTATGACTTTCTGTTATGATTTCAGTGTACTGCAAAAGAAGCTTCTTTGATGTGGGGGATGTTAGCTAAACTTATCTGTGCACAGAAAGACACATATTTAGAGTGTAGATGGCTATATACTAGTTTAGATGAGTGGAGGTAGTAGGTTCTTCTCTAGGGGTCCTGATTTCACAGCTATGGGTAGTGGACTAGGTTTACCAGGCAGGAATTATAGAATAGACTTTTGATGATTGTTGGTTTCTCTCATGAAATAAGTGCCATGATTGCACCCATGAGGATTTCTTCCTGTGCTGGTCATAGTCCACCATAAATTTATAGTTGTGTTGAATTATTTATTGCTTTCCTTTCTTGGTAGCTTTCATTGCAGCTTCAAACGCTATGAGAATTAGTCCTCAGGTTCCAGGTCAGTTGATGCAATAAATGTCATGTAGCCCACACTAATGCAGTGTCTACAACATAAAAACCTGAAAACATTGTTGTCCAAAATTAGCACTGTCAGTTTAAGTCCTAATCATCCTAACACACAATTCAATGATAAGCCATTGCTTTTACTCTTCAATTTATTAATGAGAAATGATGTTAAATACAATGCCAACACTCACTTGTAAATATGTATTCTTTGACGATGTATCTGCTTAGAGACTTTTCAATTTTGTAAATGTATCAATTTCTGTTTAGTTTGGATATGTCTGTATAATCTTGGCATAATTCAAAGTTTTAGATATATACTTTGGAATACTTTCTGATGTTCCTGGATTGTCCTATCCTTTACTTGTTAGTGTTTCTTGGATAGTCTAAACATTTTGTCAACTTGTAGCTTTAAAACATATTTTTGCAGCATCTAATAAGGATATTTATTAGAATTATGTAGAAAATAAAGATTAAATTGGTCGGAAAAGCCATCGTAACATAAAATGACTTTCACTAAATATCCCATGGCTTTATTTTTCAATGTTTCATATTTCTGCATTGGGTCTCTTTCTCTCTAACACAACAAACACATAGATAGCTAGATTAGTACTATTTCTTTTTTTTTTAAAAAAAAGATTTTATTTATTTATTATGTATACAACTTTCTGTCTCCATGTATGCCTGCATGCCAGAAGAGGGTGCCAGATCTCATTACAGATGGTTGTGAGCCACCATGTGGTTGCTGGGAATTGAACTCAGGACCTCCAGAAGAGCAGGTAGTGCTCTTAACCACTGAGCCATCTCTCCAGCCCCAGATTAGTACTATTTCATTTTTAATGCCGATTTGATAGTTTTTCAAATTTTAATTGTTTGTTGATGACATATAAAACAGTTTTGTGTAGCAACTTATGATAGTTATTTATACTGTTTTCCTGGATACTCCAAAGACCCCTCAATTTGTATAACAGTGTTCTTTGACTCTCAAGATATATTCTTTTTACCCCTTCCTCTGTTCTTATCTTTCTTTTTTTTTTTTTTTTTTTTTTTTTCTGTGTAACTCCTTTTACTCAGTTATGAACTTGCTACCTTTCCCTCTCCTGGTTCTGGTTCATAATCCAGATTACAAATTACAGCTTTGATTCTTATGAATATTTAACTGAATTGTTTTATTTGCTCTTTATTTTGAAAGAAACAAATATTTAAGGATAAAATATTTATAGATAGACTCTAAGAGGAGAAGTTCACAAACCATAAATTGATGGTGCTGAGAAAATAAACATGTCTCACATAATCACTTCTATTATTTTTAATTTAGCCTTTAAGTGTCTAGTTCAAAATATATCCATTAAGTCCTTTCAAATCTTTCTAGTAGAACAGCAATATTAATGTTCATGGAGGATATTAACATTTTCTGAGATAGCCTCCCTGAGCCAACAGTCCTAAGACATTAATTGTAATATGCAAGTAAAATAGAGCCAGACACAAAGAAATTAAACATGAATTAAGACACCTACATTATTACTCTAATTTTTCAAGATAAATTAGGGAAAACATTTTATTTCTTCAGAATTCCAATTTTCTTTCCTTGAAACGGGAAATCCATTAGTATTTTCTAGATGATGCTTTTCATAATTTAGGTTCATGTACAGAGAATGAAAAATATGCTATAAATTCAATGTACTTAGACAAACAGTCCCAATGCCAGCCTCAAATTGTATATCATCTTGAAAACAGATTTCAACTTTGCAGATTAATATGTTTTCCTTGGCAGGAAATCACATAATTGAGCCATTTGTTGAACACTGTCAAACGAATTTTATCCTGTAATACAGGGTATAGCTATTCTTGTGGTATACATAAAAAACTTTATTAAAATAAATTCATATCTTTATGGAATTTCATGCAGTACTCATGAATTCTATTTATCAAGTACAATACTAAAAAGAAAAACAAAAGAAAATAGCAAAACTGCGTAATTTTAAAAGGCTGTCTAGTTCAGATTGATTCATTACCCATAAATCTAGAATAGGTTAGTGCCAATCATCATTATAAAACATCATCGTTCTAAAATCCAGCTTGGAAGTGTATCTATAATAATATAACAGTACAGTATCATTAAATTAATATTTGGAAAAATGTACCCCCTGAAACATGAATTTTCCAACAAAATTCCCAGATACGTCACAGACTTTCAGTGTCACCCTAAAAGGAAACGACACCACTTTCAATCCCTTCACGGTATTTCAAAGGGGGATTCTGTGTAAGCCCTGTTCTTAAAATGCATTATAGCGCCTGAAGGACATTATTACTAGGTGCAGCGGAGCTGCCTAGACCCTCTTTCTTGCCGGCGTGGCTTTGTGAGTCATTGCTCTGCTGGTATTTGAAGGTCTCCCACAGGCATCTTCTCAAGCAATGTTTTATTGCGTTCTAATCTCTCATCCAGGCTGAGCATCCATCTATGAGCATCCTCCACAGAACCAGGAAAGACTGAATCCTCTGATTTCGGCTGCTCTCTTCATTCTCTGATCTGCAGCACTGGTACCAGAGAGGAGATTCTCTCCGGGTAGAAATGATTTCTCTTCTTTTAAAATTCACAGTTTGGTGTGTGCTCTGCAAGAAGTTCATTAATTAGGGTTGTTGGATGTGTTTTGGGGTGACAACACACTCACCACTTTGATTGAATTCATCTTTCTTTCTGAGCTAAAACAAGGCAGCTAGTATTAATTTTTAAATCCAGGACCAAAAGGAATGCGTATCCAAGTGATATTTCTACAACAAAAGTTAGAAAGCTCTCTACATTTATAATAAGTTTACATTACAGCTATAACTAATATTTATCATATGCATATAAAATGCTAGTCATTCAAAATGATTTATATCATGTATATTTTATTTAATTAAATACATTGTTTAGGGCTATTTTTAATTTTTTAAATGTAGGGAGTTATGTATTTTGTAATTTTATCACATCTTAAAAGTAGTGTGTAATGAATAAAAGCTTAATTGACTTCAAAATTTAAAATTTAAAAACCACATATATTTAAGACACCAAGCACCAAGTCTTCAACTTTTTTTTTTTTTTTTTTTTTTTGGNCCAGAACTAGCTCTAGTAGCCTAGGCTGGCCTTGAACTCACAGAGATCTGTCTGCCTCTGCCTCCTGAGTGCTGGGATTAAAGGCGTGTGCCACCACCACCTGACCTTCAACTTTATTTTTATTGATAACTGTACAGTTCACTTCACAATGATAGAATCTGATTATTTTGGTGACAAAATATATTCTCTGTAGCTGTAAGTCTGTATTTCAGAGACTTCTAGGTTATTAATAAAGTTTAGGGCTAAAAAGCACACATCTAGTTAGAAAGACTCCTATATTACAGAGATATTGAAGAAATTATGAACAGATAACAAATACAAATGATTTGAAAACCAGTTTTGTAAATAAAAATATATCTCTTGCTGAAACTGGAGAAAATGTCAACAAATAGTTTAATATATGTACCTTTATAAATCTACAAAAGAAAATGTATATGTACAAAAGAGAAAAAAATATCAGTCCTCTGTCTGATGTGAGGTTGGTGAAGATCTTTTCTGAAGGTTGCCGTTTTGTCTTCTTGACTGTGTCCTTTGCTTTACAGAAGATTTTCAGTTTCAGGAGGTCCCATTTATTAATTGTATCTCTGTGTCTGTGCTACCTGGGTTCTATTTAGGAAGTGGTCTCCTGTGCCAATGCGTTCAAGTGTACTTCCCACTTTCTCTTGTATGAGTTTCAGTGTGGCTGGCTTTATGTTGAAGTCTTTGATCCATTTGGACTTTAGTTTTGTGCATGGTGATAGGTATGGGGCTGATTGCTGAACCCTGCAAAAACATGGAAGAAGTGACCAGACATATGGAGGAGAACGTGAGGAACCTGAGACAGAAAATTGCACCATAACTGGATACATGAGTAATGAGTGCTCAGAAATAGAGAATAGAATTTAAAGAAGTATGGAAAAGCAGGAAAATTAAACCAGGAGTAAAAATTTGTAAATAATAAGTTATATATATAACTTATTATATAAGAAAAATATATTTTATTTATATAAGAAAAATATATTTATTATATAAGAAAACAATATATTTATTATATAAGAAACAATATATTTATTATATAAGAAAAATATATATATGGGATAAGAACACAGTATTCAGTTATATATGTTGATAGCTAAAGGAAGTTAAAATGGAGCAGAAAAAGAGGCAGCGATATTTAGAGTCTGTAAACATGATAGTCACAAAAATGCAGCTTTTATCACTTGCTAAACAGATAGGAAAAATGAAGGAAATACGGCATTTGGCTCAAGAATCATCTAGGTTACTGTTGAGATTAAGGAGCCAGGTGTAAACACGGTAGTCAGTTGAATCTAACTCACCTGTGGGTGAAAGGCAAGCAGGAGACAAAGTTTAGAGATTTTACTCCACACAGTCAGCAGCCCAGAGTCAGTCAATAGGACAAAGGAGAGGGTTCAGAAATTCTCCTAATTTTATGATTTACAAGTTAAAATAAGAAAGATAGTTAAATATTGGCATGGCATGTCCTACCCCCCGCCTCATGGCCTGGCTTCTGCTTTGAGTTCACATGCATGTTTGAAAAAAAGGTAACCTCAGGGGGCTGCAGCTTCATGACAATTAAAAATAAACAAGCAGGATAAATAGGTTTCCTTTTCCATTTCACAATTTTTGCTTTGTCACAAACCTGCTGTTTGTAAGTGAGTGGTCTTCGTATCTGTTTTTATGCCAATATCAAGCTGTTTTCAGTACTGTGGCTCTGTAGTGAAGTTTAAAGTCAGAGATTGTGATGCATTCAGAAGTTCCTTGATTTTACATGATTTTAGGATTGTTTAGGTTAACCTGAGTTTTTGTTTTCCTTATGAAGTTGAGGATTGTTCTTTCAAGGTCTATGATTAAATTTACTCTAATTTTTATGAGCATTTCCATTGATTCTGATGATTGGTTTCAGTAAGATTATCAGTTTTTGCTATGTTGATTCTATCTTTATAAGAAAATAGGAGATCTTTTCATTTTCTTTCTTCAAAGATTTAAAGTTCTTATCATACAGGTTTTTCCACTTGTTTGGGTACAGTTACTCCAAGATATTTTGTGGTATTTGTGGCTATTGTAAAGGATGACGTCTCTCATTTATCGTTGGTGTAAAAGAGGAGCTTTTGGGTTGTTTTTCAGGTTCTGGCTATGACAAAGTAATTTTGCTATGAACATAGCTGAGCACATGCCCTTATGGTATGGTTGAGCATCTTTTTTATATGGGCCCAAAACTGGCATTGCTGAGTTTTAAGGTTGATTGATGCCTCATTTTGTGAAAAAAAAAAAAAAAATTGTCATACTAGTATCCCAAATGGCTGTGCCATGTCACACTTCCACCAGCAGTGGAGGAGTTTTTTTCTTTACCCCACATTCTCTTAAGCATAATTTGTCAGCAATGTTTTTTAATATTGGTCATTCTTACAGGGATAAGATGGAATCTCAAGAGTTTTGACTTGCATTTCCCTAAGGCTTAAGGATGTTACGCTTGAGCATTTTTTTTAAGTGTCTTTAAGTCATTCTGGGTTCATCTGTTGAGAGTTTTCAGTTTAGCTCTGTACCATATATTTCTATTGGATTATTTGGGGTTTTTTTGCTGACTAATTTCCTGAGTTCTTTGTATATTTGGAGTGGATAAGTAAAGATCTTTTTCCCATTTTATAGGCTGATATTGTGTTTTATTGACTATGTCCTTTGCTACAGAAGCTTCTCAGTTTTAGGAGTACTCATATATTAATTGTTCCTCTCAGTGTCTGCGCCACTGAGGTTGTATTTGAGATGTTACAATGCATTTAAATGTTCTTCTAACTTTTTCTTCTGTGAGGTTCAATGTGGTTGGTTTTATGTTGAGGTCTTTGATTCATTTAAATTTGAGTTTGGGGCATAGAGATAAATATGTATCTATTTTCATTCTTCTACACGTTGGTGTTTAATTAGACCAGCATCATACTTGAATATGCTTTCTTTTTCCATTTTCTTATCAGCTAGACAGACTTGCAACTAAAGAGGAGGATAGCTTACAAACCTTTAATTAGATATACAGTGGTTAAAGCCTTAGTTATAGTATTCTTATGGGAGATATTGAGCTACAAAGTAAAATTCTTAAAGGGAGCAATCAGCCAATTTCTAATAGACATCTTATAGAAGCTGCCAGACATGTACTCAAGCAGGTGGACTCTAGATCAGCAGGTAGAGTATACAATAATCAGCAACTACAGTGTATTTAATTATGATTCAGCTATGGCAAGTGCGTGTATTAAGTACAAAACTTATTCTATAGAAGTTTTATGAAAAAACAGAATTCTTTTTATGGCTGCACCTTCCCATTTGCCAGTTAAGATGTTAAACTCTTAATTTAAAGCAGTAATTTGTCTAATACAAAGGAACAGGATGAAATCTAGGAGATATTTTAGTAGAATACTGGCTATAATCAATGTTTCTTACACTAAGCAATAGATTAATTGATAATTTTAAAATACTGATTCTTGGATATTTGTGTTTGCTCAATTAAAAAGCCAGAGTAATAATCTCTTCCCAGATGATCATTGCTGCAATTTGCTGAATTATGTTTGCTAATTTTATAGCTAAAGATTCCTCAAAAGATGCTATGCTAAATGTTACACATGGCTCTTCCAATGGAAGAACTGCATATATGGTTATTAATGAAAAGGAATTGTGGAGAATGCTATGGCTCCTTGAAAATAACTTAAAAGGGTAAAAATTTGCAGACAGATCTGGCATGATTGCACCAAGGTGACCTTTGCTAAGGCAAGAGGGAAAAGCTCTTGCAATGAATGATGAAAAGACCCAGCCTATATTAATTTGGGATTGAGGAAGTGTTTGCACTTTTTTTCACAGAAAGAAAATAAAGCTGGATGAAATGACTGCACATATAATAAAGGAGTAGCAGACATAATGACATCATAGCTGCAAATGCTCCATAGAGGAGTTGTAGTGTAGTGTAAGGAATTGGAGAGGAGTCCATTGTCCAGTCTTTCCCGCTCCCACAGAGAGGAGTGCCTGATCTGCTTCAGGGTGCCATGCTGTTCTGAGGGACAAATTCTGAGCTGCTTTCAGACACTTTGGGGCACAAAGACCCAGAGGCCCTACTGAGATGACCTGGTCACGATGACTACAATTTTCTGCAGCATGAATCCTTTGCTTTGAAACTTAAATGCAAACTGAACATCTAATGTTTTAATCTTTGGGACACAGAACTCATTTTGATAACAATATCGAACCTGGGAACTAAGACCTAAGAATTCCCCCTCAGGGAAAGAAAGACTCAAAATAAGAAATGACTAAAACCCCTCTTCAGTTAAGAAGAGGGACAACCTATGGGTTTAACTGCTGCTCAGAGACTGGAACTGGTATTTGATAACAGCAATGCCACTGTATTCTCACCCATCAGAAAAGCTTTTCTTGTCTTTTTATTAAGGTTGATTTAAGTAAATTATGACATGTTTAATTGTGGATTTATTGTTAATTATGGTATTGACCTGATAGTGTTTGTAACTGCTTATAAGATGTTGAGGAAAGTTGGTATTGACCTCCTGATAGTGTTTGTAACCACTTATAAGATATTGAGAAAAGTTGGTATTGACCTGATAGCGTTTGTAAATGCCTATAAGATGTTTAGAAAAGTTGGGATTGACTTGATATTGTTTGTAACTGCTTATACTGTTTTGAGAAAAGTTTGACACACCCTGTATATGCTTGGATTTATTGCACAGGTTAAGAATTTTAGATTTTAATACAATGTAAAAGATTTAAGAGGTGCTGTAAACTAGCTGAAGAAACATTTTCAACTCAGGCAATCCTCTTCTCCTTTAAATAGGAGACTATAGTCTTTAGGAACATGATTATTCATAAAGAGTTATGATTTATCTGACAAAAAGTATGGCTCAACACAGAGCCAAAGGTATCTCTCTCCCTTAATCTCTTTTCTTAACAGAGATTATCAGTCAATGACGGGTTTGAAGTTTCTTCTCCCCAGATGCGTAAGACAGGAGCGTGCATAAAAGGGAATGCCTGTTCTAAGGACAGGTAAATTTGCCTAAGTAGAAAAGTCTTTGCCTAAGGCAGATGTGATAGTCTGTCCTGTTGCAGAAGCACAGGTTTTTATTAAAATTAATAAGAGAGAGTGGGTTGTAGGCCCATATTTCTACAGGATATGGCGCCCGGAATCTCAGGTCACAGTTTGCATCTGCTGTACAGGAGGTGGTCAAATAATACCTACAAATAGGCTGTCACCAGGGTCAGGATTGCTAATGTTGTTCTGCTCCTTCTTTGTAATCTGGAGGATGCCTGGGATAGAGATGCTAATTCAGCCTAAATGACAGAGCTGGCATACAAAGCAGGACGATAGAAAGATGTGACAAAGAAGTCATAGGTAGATGTGTGGACGTGACCACAGCCATTCACCTGGTTACCTAGGAAACAGAGTGCTAATGAATTTTCCTTTCAGTTTAGGTTTTGGTATATAAGGGTGTTTGGAGAATAATTGCAGAGGAATTTTCAGGATGTGAACTCAGGATTTCATGAGGGATTACTGAGACTCTCCCTCTCAATAAAGCCATGTGAGTTGTCTCAATTATTCCCATGCCTCCCCTCTGGTCCAGAGAAATATTTATGGTCCGGGCTGGCACCAGACCCCGACACCAATGCCATTAAGTTTTTTTTTTTTAACATTTATTTAGCGCTCTCTCTCTCTCTCTGTCTCTGTCTCTCTGTCTCTGTCTCTCTCTGTCTCTCTCTCTCTCTCTCTGTCTCTCTCTCTCTCTCTCGTGACTTTCTGTCTCTCTGTGTGTGCACATGTCCATATAAGCAAGATTACAACTTGTGAGAATGGTTCTCTCTTTTCATCATGTGGCTTACAGAAATCGGACTCAAGTTTTTAGAGTTAGTGGCAACTTTTATCTGCTGAGCCATCTCACTGGCTCCATCTTTTTAAATTAATGTACTTGTTTGGGAGTACTTAATTGCAGCGAAGTTCAATACAAAGTAGTTATATTACTTGTGTCACCTGAATATTACCTACTCTGTCATAGTCATTCTGCACTTCAGTGGGGCCTTTTAAATATTGATAAAGATAAAATGATTCATACTTATCACCTAAAGTCTATAGTTTATAGACAAGTTCACTCTATACCATCTAACAAATGTATAATGGCATATTACCATTAATGTAGTATAATGTAGAATAGTTTCAGTGACTTAAATGTTCTGTTTTTACATCTTCTTCTCTTCTTCCTGCTTAATTGATTCTCTGCTTTTATTCAACAGAATGCTCAAAGCCTTAGCCCAAGCAGTAAATCAATAAAACAAAGTAGAAGCATATAAGAAGAAAAAGAAGTCAAATCACCCCTACTTAACAAATGATTTTGAAGTTAGGAGTTGGTGGCATATACCTTTAATTCCATCAGTTCGGTAGCATAGGCAGGCAGGCAGGCAGAGCTCTGTGAGTTCAAGGTCAGCGTGGTCTATCGAGCAAATTACAGGACAGCCATGGCTATGACACAGAATAACTCTGTCTCAAAAACAAACAAGTAGAAGATTTAAGGAAGTTCCCAGAGATGCACTAGAAAACTCTTAAAGTCTAATGAATACTTTCATCAAAGTGGTAGAAAATAAAATCAACACATCAAAAATAGCACCTTTTCTATATACCAAAGAATAAACCTCCAAGACAGAGTGAAAGCAGATAAAAAAAAAGTCACCCACACAGTTTCCAATAGAAACAAAGAAAGCAGGATGTGGTGGCAATGTCTGTAATTCAAAGTGGACTAGTGGGATCAGAAATTCAGTCCAGACTTTACCTTAAACACAGCCTGAGCTCTACGAGATCCTGTCTCAAAACCCCAAATAAATAAATAATAAACAAACAAAAATCAATCGATAAAATGACACCAAATAAAATAGGTAGAAGTATACTATCAAAAGAGGCAAAGGAATTTAGTTTTTTACAATGAAAAAATTAAATATTCAAAAGAGGGGCTGGAAATTTGGTTAAGAAGCTAAGATGAGCATATCACTCTTGCAAAGGACCAGTGTTCAGTTCCTAGCACTCAATTCAGTTGGCTCACAATGATGTTGGATGTGCATATGTGCTGCTTTTATTGGTTGATGAATAAAGTTGTTTGGGCCAATGGTTTAGCAGAGTAAAGCTGGGCATGAAATCAGAAGAGAGGCAGAGATAGAAGTAGGTGGAGTTAAAGAGAGGTCTTGTAGCTGTCAAGGACAAAGACACCACTAGAACCTTACTGGTAGACTAGGGCTCTGTAGTGATACACAGATTAATAGAAATGGGTTAATTTAAGATGTAAGAGTTAATTAATAAGACGCCCTAGTTAACAGACCAAACAGTGTTTTAATTAATATAGTCTCTGTGTGATTATTTGGATATGGATTTCTGGGAAACAGATGACCAATCTCTGCTTATAAAATGACACCCAAAATGAAGACAAGAATGTCCACGTAAAGTCTAAAAAAGCTTAAATTTTAAAAAAAAGTCTTTCTAGACCTACAAAAATGGGAGTCAACTACAGCTTCTTGATAACTGCATTTTTTTTTTTTCAGATAGGCTCTGTTTGCTGGTGGTGAGCAGAGGCATGGCTCCTTTAAGAGAAGGCTTTCTGACTCAGCATTAGCAGCAATAGCTGCAAGGCTTCATTTAGAGAAGCTTCCTGCTTCATGCTGGTAGCAAGAATAGCTCTGGCTCTTTCAGGAGGCTGAGCACTTGAATGGGGTTTGTGAGCAGAGTGCTGCAAATTTCTTTATGGTGACATAGACCCACTGCATCCCTATAGCTGGGCTGGTGAGCCTCCACCATGTTGGAGTAGGTGAAGCAAACAGTTATGGCTGTGGAGTTGGTCCTAGCAGCCAGGAAATGAATGAGCGGTCTTTACTTAGATCTATATGGAGCTATAGCTCATAGTGCCAGCTTCCAGGGTTGCAATGAGGTCTTCTGGCCTCCATGCCTACTCATATCCACAGACCCACAAAGAGTCACACACAAGTATATTTTAAATAAATGTTTAAAAAGACTGAAAAAACTGAAAAATATAATAGATAAAATGACCTTTCCTTCTCAATGACAAAATTAATACCAAGAAATGGCATAAAACTAAATATCTGAACTATGATAAAATGTAATCAAATTTTTAATGAGACTATTTATAGAAATATAAAACATTTCTCAAAATTCATGTATGACTACAAAGAACCCCGAGTGACCATATAAGCTAAACAGAAAGAACAATGATGTAACAACACATCTTTAATTATATCTCAGACATGGAGTATCCAGAAGTACATGGGAACTCTTCTCAGACTCATCAAAAAAAAAAAACCACACACACACACAACAACAACAGAGTAGCAGGGACACTGTTGTCCCAAGTATTAGGAAGAGAGTCGTGCAGATACAAAGAATTATAACTTGCCTAAGGAGAAATTCATGAACAAATGTAAAAGAGTTTTGAAGTACTGCTCATGACCCACTGCTGATAGGCCTGGGAGACTCAAACCTTCAGGGAACTGAGTTCTATGTTTTTTCAGCTTGTTCAGATTTTGCTTGTTTTTAGACTAAAGTGATAGCATTTAAGCTCCTTATTTGGCAGATCAAAACCAGAAACTGTCAATTTCACTTTAATTACCCATATTAGTCTTACTAAATACAATTTGAATAGTACAATGATCAGATATGCTATAATTATTTTGTTAGATATTTACTTGAACCTTTTAATCTTGTAGAGTTATGAAATAAATGTTAAAATAATTACAAGGGATAATTGCTGGGGTTGGGGTAAAGGTGGGATGGAGGAGCAATAGAGAAAGGAATAGCAGGATAAAGTGATCTGATGGGGAAATGGGAAAAAGAGAGGGCTCTAGTTAGAGAGGGCGAGGAGAAGATAATAAGAAGGGGGTGGGCACAATAAGGATGTCTGAAAAAGGCATAAGGAATCACATTTTAAACTCTTTACCTAAAAAACTATAATACAAGTAAGTTTGTATATAAATATACATACATAATTTAAAAGAAATTTTCTTGTCTAGACTGATGTTCCTCTCAAAAGATATAAATCATCTAAAAAAATACAAAATCCCAAGACTAGGCATGAGAAATCCCCTGTTGAATCATTTGTCAAGGTTGTTCAAGAGACTCCTGAAGCATTCCAGTGAATTGCTCTTACTCTTGGTAGCACTTGAGAAGTGGAAGGTAAGTCCTTACTGCTGAAGTCACAATGCACTTCAGAAAGAGGACCCAGAAGCCCCTGAACTGAAACTGACCTGAAGGACTCCCTTCTGAGGATTAGATTCCAAAGGAATGAACCTACCAATAGTCCTCCCCAGCTCTGATGCCTTTAAAATGAACTTCAACAACAGCCAGCATAGCATGGTAATACTAAGGATACACTAGCAATGGACATATTATGGTGGTAACCAACAGCTCTGTAATTGGACTTAAAATCTTCTCAACAAGAGGGAGATTATGCCTGGTTAAAAACAAGGCCACCTACCAAGGGGTTAGAGTGATTATGAATCTTGGAGAACCTTGTGTTGGTTGAATAGTAATACTACCCTCCCCCATGCTCACATATTTAAACGTTTAGTCATTAGGGAGTGGTGTTAGGTGTGGTCTTGTTGAGGAAGGTACGGCCTTGTTGGAGGAAATGTCACTGGAGGGTGAACTTTGAAGTTTTCAAAGGTCGAAGCCAGGCCCGTGTCTCTTTCTGCTGTCTTCAGATACAGAACTCTTATCTACCATGCCTGCCTGCATACCACCCTTTCCCTGCCACAGGAAAATGGACTAAACCTCTGAAATTGTAAGTAAGCCTCAGTTAAAAACTTTCTTTTATAAGAGTTGCCATGGTTGCGGTGTCTCTTCATAGCGGTAAACCTTGGAGAAGACAAACCTCCAACAAATACTTTATTAAACCAGCATAATCTCTAATCACATTCTAAACACCTGCCTTATACCCACAGATCAAGTGTAGTATTCACCCCTCATCAAGGAAAGTTCTTGCAATATGTGAAGGTGACTAGAAATAGCTACAACCAATCAAAATCCAGAGTCATGGAGTGCAGTTCCCACGGATGCGTACAATACAATTTCTGCACCTAAGACTCAGGGATTACTATGGAAGAGGAAACAGAAAGATTGTAAGAATCAGGAACAGGTAATTTTCTATGAGACTGTGTCTCTTAGGGATGTCAGAAGCTACATAAATAAAGTGTCATCAATGTGACTGCCTAAACATGCACTAAAGAATACACGTGCTAAAGTGGATAGGGAAAGTTCATGAGGCTCCAACCCCATGCAAAGAACTATAGGCCAGTAAGAAATGCTGAAAGGGGAAGAAATGTTCTTCACCAAGGAAGCACACACCAATAGCCTATTTAGTACCAAATGGTCAATCAAGCAAACATACATCCAATAGCATTATAGAAACTGAGAAAGTTGTATTTATGTATTTAGGGATACATATGTATACTTGTATGCACATATGTGTATAACAACAATTACTGAACAAAGAGAACATAAATTTGAAAGACAGAAAGAAAGGGTATATGGGAATATTTGGAATAAAGACAGGGAAGAAGAAATTGATGTAATGATATCATCTCAAAATATGTAAGAAATAATTACAAGCAAAATAATAGTAGCATTAGTATACAAACATGTTCAAATTGTATTGTGTTGATGACATTGTTAGAAATCAATCATAATTAGAAATAAATATTTCTTTTTATTTGTTTAGAGTATTCTTTTCTTTGCAAGACTGAGTTCATTTCTTAAGAGGAAATTAAACAGTCCAGAAATTGTCATAGAATAATCAATCAGTATATTGGAAATTTTCGTCAAGTAAAACTCAAGATCCTTACTTTGCTTTTACCTCAGTTGTCAGTGTTTGTGTTTGGTTGAGAGGTTGGTATTTGAAGGGATTTTTACCGTGTGATTTGTTTGGAGCAAGAGATCAGGTATGAGGAACTGTATTGCCGATATCTCGGTGGAGACCTCCAATTGCCGCGCACCGCGCCCCCGTGTCTGCACTCTGTGTGCTAGAACCCAGTTTGAGCTTCTGGCAAGGGCTTGGAGGTTGAGAATACAGACAGACGCAGAGACAGACCGGCACGCAGACCTTTTAACACTAATACCAAAATGCCCCAAGAATGCCCCCTTTATTGTGTTCAGGGGCAGATTATATAGAGATAGCCACGCCCCAGCCAACCCCACCAGAAACCACTCTCCTGCCATCAGGAACTCCTGAAGGTCTCGTGCTCAGAGCAGCTGTAGGCACTCAGATCAGGGGAAAACAAGTTGTTTACAAGGATCTGGGGTCTCACTGCTCCCAACACCGTATGCCAGTTTCACACTTAGGTTTTAAGACAGTGTTGTAGTTTGATTGAAACTGGCCTCCATAATCTGATAGGGAGTGGCACTATTAGGAAGTGTGGACTTGTTGGAGGAAGTGTGTCACTGTGGGGCTCGGCTTTGAGGTTTCCTTTGTGCTCATGATATTGCCCAATGCCACAGACCACTTTTCCTGTTGCCTTCTAATCAAGATGTAGCCAACGACAGGTTTGCCTGCATGTCGCCATGCTCCGTGCCATGATGATAAGGAACTGAACCTCTGATATGTAAGCTGCCATCTCAATTAAATGTTTTTTTCTTTTTAAGAGTTACAATGGTCATGGTAACCTTAAGTAAGACAGATAGTTACAGTCTATTTCTGCTTGCTGATTGTGGTCTGAATGTTTTTGTGTATTGTCCCTCCCAAGTTTGTTGTTCAGTGTTTGTATAAAATCTACATTGGATGGAGGCTCACTGGATAAGTAATGGCAACTGATAAGTTATATTCCAGTGGGGCAATTACAACACGTAGACCCAACTGCAGTTGCTTGGGAAGTAAAAACCTACTGCTACATGCCACTGAGATTTTGCTTGGTTGTTTCATACCTCACTTAAGCAATAACCGACTGCTTTAGTATTAAAGAGAGGTTGTTTTTATCTAGCTTGCAGGGAAAAGATTCTATGTGTGTGGGTGTGTGCTTCTGTATGGATCTGAGAAAACAGTTGAGCTCTCAAAGCTCAAATCATTAAAAAATAGCTTTCTTTTTTTATAAATTGGCTCAAGTCTATTCTTGCAATATAAATCCATAAAATTGAGCATAGTACTATTTTTCATATAATAGTGTCTTCTGGAGACCAAAGAACCTGCTTGCTGTAGAAATTCCTACAGCCAGTAGCCTTTAAGTTACCTGCCCCCTTGGGCGTGGCCTCTTATACTATGTATGACAAAGTAAAGTGCACTTCCAGCCTCCCTCTTCCAGCTATGGGATTTGGTTGCTGTACCCTGTTAGAGCAAAGGACTATAATCTGTGAGTCTACCCCTAAAAAAGAAAACCCTCTATTATACTCAATTCTGAGCTAGTGTGGGATTTCTTTTAAAGTTCCGTGTTCACCTGCTTAGTTATTTTTGTCATGTATTTATAAATATATAAAATGTATATGTTATAGTTAATA